AAATGTTTGGCCTCCATTATTTAGGACATTCATTATCTGATTACCGAGATCACTCCATTTATAGTAAAAAGTTAATAATTATAATTACTGTAACAATTTAGCAATTATCAAATTTTGATTAGAGGGTGGTCCCAATAATTAGACTTTATTTAGACCACCGTGAATATCCAGATTTCAATAGATGCTTGTTCAAACTCCCGGATCGGTACCACCTGTCCTTCAAATTACCCCCTCACCTGATTTTCTTTGCGGGGGGGATCTCCCAAGTGACATGGAAACTGCTTCCCTCCACCACCCACACTTTCATTATTCCAGAATCTTCAGAGATCCTTGATGACCATTCTGTTTTGAAATTTTAGGGCGTAGGGTGACTTTGCAGGTCTCCCTTCCCCCCCACTAATTTGAGAAAGATCTGGTAGTGGTGGAAGGGAGGGTAAGGCTGCCCATTCTCTGCTCTTAAACAAGGGTGAGCAAGAAATTGTGTTAAGCTGCTACTGGGTAGCTGACTTCTGGGGCCTTGGATAGTTTGGGGACTAAAGAGCAATGAAAACTAAAGGGTAACAATGGAGGAGTTGGAAATCAACTATGTGGGGAAAGGGAGGGGAATCTTTGGGGAAGAGACAGAAGATAGGTGAAAGACCACACAGGATGAAGAGGGAAATTAATTTGGGAAAATGGAGAAATGCAGGGAAAGATGAAAAAAAACTAATAGAGTGAGCAGAAGTAAGAAATGGAAAAGAAAGAGAAGGCAAAACCAAATACGTGCAGCTCTAAGGTTAAGTACATTTCATGTTAATTCTCATTTGCATTTTATGGGTAGGGCTCTTAGCTGTGATTATTTTATGGGTGCTTATTTGTGTTTGGTGTATGTATGCACAAGTTTCTCTGCAATGTAGGAATTCCTTATTCCAGGGAACTATTACTCTAGACCTGATTTGACTATGACATTTGTACCAAGGGAGTTTCAAATATTCACTGTGATAGCAAAATACTATTAAAAAAAATTCACTTTCTTTATTTTGTCCCCAAAGTTCAAACTAGGGATGTTTTGCAAATAAATAAATAAATAAAAATTCTAATTATATGGAATTACTGCAGCCTGTTTAAGAAAATTTCTAATTTTATAAAACTTCTAATAATTTAAATGATGCAGTTAAAAGACTACAAAAATTGTATGCATCCTTTTTTCTGTTTCATTCAGCTTGCTTGTGAAAGTAGAGTAGTTTCACCTTTGTTATTGTTAATTTTAACTTGCTGGTTCTAATGTAGCAGCACAACAATTCAAGATTTGCATTACAAGCACTATAGTAAAAAATTTTAAATACAAAACTAATGGAACATTTCAACTGTTCACAGTTTTTATGAGCCGTAAATGTTCAGCTTAAATTGACTGGATGTTTAAAAAATGCATATAAGGCTTTTTTTTGTTTTTGTTTTTTTTTGTTAAAATGCCATATTTGCCTATATTCTCACCTTAATTCTAGGTATATTAAATTGCTTTTAATTATATTTTTAATTTAAATGCCAATACAAGCTAGAATGTTTTTTTAATTGCTGAAAATAATATTCTCCAACAGTTACTGTAGCCTGAGTTTGCTGGGCAGAATGTTAGAGCGTTCCTTATTCAAACAGTGGGATTTTTGACTGAATAAGCATGCAGGATCATGCCTGTGGTATTAAGTTATACCCACATAGAGTTATGTAGCAATGTGGGAGGATGTACTGGTGGCACCTAGCGGCTGAAACAGAAAATTGCATGGGAAAGTAATGGAGGAGGAAATGTAGAGAGTTCTTCAGAATGTTGAGAATAGTGGGGCTGGTAATGAATATGGGCAAGCAAATGAAGAAAGCGCCCTGTTCAGAACTGCAATGAATCAGTATCATTAGGAGTGAGTGGAGAATCGGTACTGTAGGATGTGCTACATCAGAGGAATGGTAGGTTGCTCATTAGTTTTTAAACTTTTTCTGGTACATTTGTTCTCCAGCAGTTAAGTTTTTTATTTTAGCCTTATTTTTCAGATACTGCTCTATACTCCATTTAATAGTGAGATCTTTTTACAGCAATGAATGTACTGGCCAAGAAGCTTTACTCTACTTTAGAGTCCTTCATTATGAATTTTGCTACTTATGATATTTAGCTTTCAGTTAATAGCAGAGAAGAACTCCTAATTTCTTATTTGATGTTTGGAGAAGCAAACCCTTATGTTTGGAAGGTGGTCTGAAGATCTATCCGGGAAACTTCTTAACCTGATTGATATAAAAGATTAGTTAACTGGGAAGAAGTAGGCCTGGTGTTACTTTAAATTACTTTTAGCTTTATTTCAGGGATATGCTGCAGTTGAGTGAGCTCAGCATTTTTCAGGTACACTGATTCAGGAAAATAGCCTGTGCTTCAGTGCTGTCCTGAATTGGGGTCTAAATCTCTGCTCTTTCTGCTGTCCCATTCCCAAAAGAAATCTCAAACAAAAACACTTAATTCAGTGTAGAGCCTAAAAAGAATAGCACCATCATCTTGACCATGCACAATCCCTCTTTTCACCATTTTGTAGAATGCTGAGTTTTCAGTTAAGTTGCAGACTTGTCTTTTAGGGCAGCATGTGAAGCTCATCTATTTACCCAGGAATGGGTAAGGAGAAGAAAGGAGGGCTATAGAGGTGGAGAAAGCTGTTGGTTTGGTTTGATATGGTTCTTTTAACTTTTGTAAGTGCACTTAGAGCTTCTCCAAGTTAATTTTTATGTGTAAAATTAAATTTTCTTTGCCTTTGTCTGTGGTTGGTATTAGTGGCACCATATTATGCACTTACTTTGTTTAAGGCAACATCCTGGAATGTTCATTCTACGGTGACTAATACCTGTTTAATGCTTGTGCTTTTTACTCACACTAATGTGAACTCTTTACTGTACAAGGAATTTTGCTATGTATCACATGTCAAAGGTAGAAAGGTGTGTATTGTATTTAGCAAAACAATTGTATGCATTGTTCCTTATACAGATATTTTTTCCTGTTGGTATGGTAATAAATGTCATGTGCTAAGCCATTGTATAATGTATGTGTAGTGTCCAAAGCAAATTAGTCATCTTTCACGTTACTGGGTATGTTACACATTAGAGAGAGATTCTTGCTGTAGTATGTACTGTCTGGAAAACTGAAGTCTGTGCTTATACTTCTGTTATCGCTTGTAATGTCACATATATGCTTTAATTTTACCAGACACTAACACACCTAATACACTGCTTAGGGGGATTTTTTTCCTGCGAATTATACACTAAATTTCCCCCCTGGCTTGTAGACAAGATATAGGAGCATAGCCACTTCATCAGTGAACACATCACTTTTATTTATTTGCTTGTTTATAAAAACAAAATCTTCATCCCCATCTGTGGCTTCAGATCAAGTTATATAAGATAGAAATATGTGAGGAAAAATGCTGAGCATAATAATTTCTGGGATGAGTTGTCCTGTTAAGCAAGTTGACTGAGTTTCATGGTAAGTGGTGAGTTTCATGACCTTGGCATTTGTCATGTCCAAGTGAAAACCTTGAAGGGGTGGGTGGGTAAGACAGATGTTTTAATCATTCCACAGCGTGCATGTATATGCGTATATAATATCTTGTGTTGTGACTTTTGTAGCAATGCTTGCAGGTTTGTTTTACAAGTGGGTGTTTCCATACATGAGCTGTCGTTAATCGAATCACATGTGGTGTTACGCTGAAAACAGAATTAGGGTACCCCAGAATAGCTCACCTGTTGCCCCTCCTGGGTTTACCTAGGGTTCCCTCAAAAACAGATTAATTTAAATATCCCCTAAAAGGTTTTCCCTTAAAACAGCCCACCTATCTGTTCTCCTACGGTATGGATCACTAGGGTAGTTAAGGAAATTCCTTCTGATAAATGATTGATTGACACAAGCAGTATTCTTTTCCAAAACAAGACACCTTTTTATTTTTATAAACAATAATCCATAATACAGTAGTAATCTGAAAACACAGATCCCGTCAGCAATTTAAAGAGCACCCCAACCACAATAACCTACAGCTGAGATGATTCTAAGCGGTTGCATCCTTTACAGATGACTGGTCTGTCGTAGGCTGCTGACACAGTCCTTAAATGATTTAAATCTTATAAATTTATTTCATTATCAACACACACACAAACATTTTTATTAGTTCACACATACACATTCTAAGACTATACTGTAATTATAACTGACAAGCTTACTCTGTCTGCTGACACAGGACTCCTGGTGCTATTGCCACTTGCTGCTGCAGCTGCTGCTTTCTCGCTTGCTTCTTCAAGTCTCCTCTCATCTGCTCTTCTCCGGTTCATTCTCCTCAGCTCCATCTGCATTTTCAGCACCTCAGCCCTGACTTTCTTGGCTGCCCACTGACACACTGCCTTTTATACAGTCACTTCAGAGCTTTCTAGTCACGTTTTATAGTGTTTTTTCTTTTACTACACATTCCATCTTCATTCATTTTTTTTTCTTTTCCTACTACACATTTATTCACATGGTCACCACTGTTGTTTACCTCAGAGTGTTATGATCTGCTGGATCCCTGCTAATTTGGTTTTCCCACCAATTTTATATTCAGTGCTACGTAACCTGCAGCTTCCATCTAATGGTAGAGTGACTCTTCCTTATTTAAATTGGAAGCCAGAATTACAAAATGGAGTCTGGGGACTTCAAAATGGAGTTTCTCTGGTATCCGTGTAGACTGCAAGGGTTCTAAAAATGTACTTATGACTTCTCTGCTAAAAGTTATGGTAATCTTTATTAGCAGTTAACAGAGATGAAGCAGTTCACAATCAAGACCCAATTTTTCCTGATAATAGTGTAGATCAGTTTGCAATAGTGAATAATGACAATGATGAGTAATGAAGCCTTTAGAATTACTGCTGTTTGATATGAGAATCACCAAGTACTATATCTGATATATGTAATGAATATGAAAATATAAATATATTGTTTGAGGCTAAAATGCTTATGCTTTTGTCTCTAGCTCACCTAAAACTTTACAAGGAGGGACCACCAGGTGGGTAGAGAGTGTATTTTGTTGTCTGTGTGTGTCTAGTCTTTGGTTTCTCTCGTTTCCTTAAAGGCAGTGGGTACCTAATTTATGACCTTTTTTCACAATGCAAAGATTTATAAAGAATATGTATTCAGGGCCTATCAAAGTTTTGAGCTAACAATTAACCAGGCCCCTCGTAGTGCTGCAGCATAAATGGGAAAATTCTAACCTGAAGTTTATGGTGATCACCAAACCAATTCAGTTTCATCTAGCATGTCGCAGTTACAAGTGTCCCATTAAAATAAGTAGCACTTGGATTAATCTCTCTCATTTGAATACCCATCTCAAAAGGTTCTGTGTCTGAGTAACAAATCTTGCAATACTAAAATGTTGGGGCTCCCAGGAACAGCATGACAACAGAGAACTGTCACATTTTATGTATCCCGTGGAACACATTGCTCCTAATTCAGAACAAGAATTTATTTAGCTCTGAGAAGGAAATACTGGCAATACCTCACCCATTTCAAAGCTGTGTGAAGGCAGTTAGATACCAGTATATAAATTCCTAGCAGAGTTATTCATGAATCCGTGAAGAAGTGTCTGGAAGCAAAAGCAGATTTTAATTGTGCTGTAAGGAAATGAAAGGAACCACTTAACCTATTAATACATAATTATTTCTACTACACTTATCATTTGAGCAATGCTTCTGTCAATTAATTTTAGAGAAGCCTCTTATACATTGAGGAAATTGCAGTACAAATCCAAGTGACAATGGTAGTCTAGTGACTCATGCATCAAATATGAGCACCTCTGATATTTTGTAATGTTCTACAGTACTGAGTGATATAGAAATGGCAAGAAATAAAAATATTTTAAACAAAGGCAAAATTATCTGTGGCAGAGAATAAATTCTGTCTGCAAATTTGGCATTAGAAGAATTGCTGAAGGTTTCTGATTATAATTGCAGAAAACTATTGCTCTATAGCTTAATTTGTGTTGATTAAGATTGACTTTCTCCTATCAACATTTTTTTAAACTTTGCTGCAGGAATTCTTAAAAACAAAACCCCTGTTGCCTCTAACATCTAACTTCAAAATGTTTAGTCCAGAATATAAATATGGCCCTTTGTCTCTTTAAAACTAACCAACCTAAAAATCTTTATTTTAAAAATTGCTTTCTGTGCTTACATTGTAATTTTATTCATAATTTATTTAAAAGAACCACCCACACTCTGTCTTTTTTGAAGTCATTGCAGTTGTGAGATGGAGATATTAAGTGAAACTTCGTGTCAGAGATCCATTTAATACCTCCATATTGTGGTTGTCATGCAATCTGTCATGTTTAAATGCATGCAACATTGCATCTGGGATGCTTTGAAGTGCAATGACCCTTGACATACTGTTGCTGCATTTCTAATCCTTCTTGGAGCCCTGTAATATGGATTGAACTCAAGCTGCTTGAAACCTGTTTTGTGTTGTCGTATTCTCATTTTCTGGAATTTGTAAAAGTATATTTGTAAAATACTATCAGAAATCACTAAAAAAATTAAAGCACTAGCTGTTATGTATTTAAATACTAATAAGGGACCTGCTCTGTGTAAGCTTGAATACTTGTCTCTTTCACCAACAGAAGTTGATCCAATAAAAGACATTACCTCACCCACCTCGTCTCTCTAATATTCTGGGCATGGGCAGCACATATAAGAGGTTGGGGGAGGTTAAGCATCCTCCCAAAAGACTGCCCATGCAGGGGAGGGCAAATACCGCAGATGAAGTGTGGGTCACCTCCCTTTGAAGGTGTGCCGCCTTTGGAGCACCAGAAGAGAAGCTCCCTGGAAGTGAAGGGGCCGCTGATGCCCAGACCATGGCCCTGCCCGTGCTCTGCCCCAAGGCCCCACCCCTGTTCGGCCTTTTCCCCTGAGGTCTGACCCGCCCGTTGCTCGCTCCTCTCTGCCATGGAGAGGAGTGAGTGGCGGGTAGGGGCAGGCCTCAGGGGAAGAGGCAGAGAGGAGCTGGCGGCCGGTGGGGGCAGACCTCAGGTGGAAGAGCCAGAGAGGAGCAGGCGGCAGGTGGGGGCGGGCCTCAGGGGGAAGAGGCGGAGAGGAGCGGGTGGCAGGTGGGGGCGGGCCTCAGGGGGAAGAGGCGGAGAGGAGTGGGCAAGGGTGCTGTGGGGGCAGGAAGAGGCAGAGATAGGAGTGGGCAAGGGGACTGCGGAGGTAGGAAGAAAGTAGGGGAAGATGAAGAGTGGGGGCGGAGTCATAGTCCAGGCGCCGGTGGCCCCCCCACTCCTAGGGAACGTCCAGTGCTCGCATGTAAGCTTCCGCAAACAGAAGACTCATGCACTGCCTGGGATCCTGGCATCAACATAGCTACAACAATCCTGCATATACTAATAGTTTAACAATTTAAAAAAACCCAGAACTACCATCAAATCAGTACGATAGCAGAGTCTGAACACCCTGCAACCCCTTCAGAACTTGCTTCTTTTAATTTGCTTCAAGTGTTGCTCTCCTCTTCTTTAATCTAGCCTGGTTCTGATACTCTAATTTTAAAAATAATAGAGTAGTAGAAGCAGGCCCGGCTCTAACTTTTTGGCCGCCCCAAGGAAAAAAAAAGAGTGCCTCCCTCCATAGCGCCGCCATAACACACACCCTCAGCACCGCGACAACACCGGAGCACCGCGCCGCCGAACCCCCCGTGGAGCACCGCGCTGCCAAACCACCCAGCCCCTCCGCGGAGTGCCGCTGAACCACCCCCCCCCGCAGAGCGCCACGCCGCCAAACACCCCCCCCAGCGGAGCGCTGCCGAACGCCGTGCTGCTGAACCCCCCGCCAAGCGCTG